TTCTTAGTTAGGAACTGAATGCTGAGTTGAGTTATTTCAAGAAGGATTTAACATGAATGCATATAATGCAATAATTTTTTTTTTCTTTTCCTATTAATCCAATTGAAGGCTTGATGAACGAGAATATGTTCCTCGCAGCCTTTGTTTGTTGAGAGTCAAAATTTTGTTGTAGGCTTGTTTGTGCAATTAAAACTACTGTCAATTCATCCAATACATGGCTATTGAATTGTATGAGACTAATTTGATTACTCTGCCTTTTCTATAGGCAGCGGACAAGGAGACGGCAGTGACTGGCCACATTAGGTCCGAAGGGGACTTATTTGTGACCGGAACTCATGCAGGATTATCACCCGATGGCGGTGAACATTGCATGTTTCATCCTACCCAACACTATCAGACATGGACAAAAGGACCTCCAGCGGATGATCTTAAGCATGTTCTTCAACATTGCACAGGATGGCAGGGTGTTCCGCGGCCAGCTGATCAAGGAGTAGCTATGTAGGATGACAAGGTGGTCCGCAACCAGATGATCAAGGAGTAGCTAAGTAGCCACGAGAAAACTAATATTCGCTTCAATTCCCAAGTTTTATTTAGTTTTCGAGTTTTTGATCTTTTTTTTGTTAAGTTTAGTCTACTTCATGTATTTCTTGTGTGTAAAATAACAATCAATAACAAATGAATGTGCGCATTGTTTGTGCAGTCCTACTATCAGCCGCAATGATAAATTGAACTGGTGCTTAAGGGAAAGTATTATAATCCACATGTTATAACGTGGGATGAGCGGATAATCTGTATTTCAGGATACATATGTAATAAATGTAACGCGTGTTATAGCTTAGTCAGGGATGAAGTCGGAGATCTACATGAATGGAGCATCTTTAAACAGCAAAGTCACAAATTATAAATTTAAAAAATTTACTAAACAAATCACTTATATAGTAATCCATAAAGTGTTTCATACAACATCCCTTGTCGTGATTTCATGTTTTGAAAGCGTTGCATGACAACTTTATTACCATTACAAAACTCTCTCTCTCTCTCTCTCTCTCTCTCTCTCTCTCTCTCTCTCTATAGAAATAATCATCTTATTATTCATATATTGATCTCCTATCTAATTCCTCAATCCATCTTCAAAAATTTCATAACCGAAAATGCTTTTTCAACGATAACAGTGGCACATGGAAGAGTTAATACTAATATTATAAGCAACTAGAAAAGTACATTTTTTCCAACATAAAAACTGAGTGAGGGCATTCGTCCCCACTGGGCCCAAGGTGGCTCCGTCCATGAGAATAGTGGATCGGTCACAGGAATTTTGATAACTAGCCATTTTTTTTAGTACATCGATATATTTACACTAGGGGGAGGTGAAGTTCGACTAAGCCACACAATGGGCAACCTAATTTGGTATCGAATTCGCCATCCACAAGATTCAAACCTAAGACCTCTCACTTCTAAGTGAAGAGGAATACCACTAGACCATAGTACTGAGTGGCTAGCCAATTTTTACACCTCAAATGAATTTTAGCTTTCCTTTTACAATTCTTACAATTTAACCATATGTCCATCTGAAATTTCAAAAATACCCTTAAATTAAAACCCTAATTACTCACTCGTCCCTTCCCTTTTCTTATGCTACAGACAACCATTGGTCGACCCATCATACCCCTTCCTTCATCCTCACCCCACCTTTTTTGGGGCTGAGAAAACTCACAAAGGCATTTCAGCCTCCCCCTAACCCCATCGTGCGATCTACCAGCGCCAAGAATTGAACCGAGGACGTGGAGTGTGGAGTACGGGCCTAACTTCATCCCCAACCACTAGATCATTCTGTAGTGGTTCCCATTTTGTACCTATTCATTCGAAAAAAAAAATTAGCATTACCAAATCAATATCAATGGTGTCGTGAATTCCAATATCGGAAGCAAGCTTAAGCTTCGTCCCAACACCATTTGTGCAAATATTACGTGGTTATGGTCGTTGGTGCCCTCCTCGGATACAAATGAACTTCATTAGTTTTTTAGAGTAAATTGTAGCTATGGTCCTTCAACTTTAACACAATTGGAGTAATGGTCCCTCAACTAAAAATCCATCACCAATGGTCCCTTCAACTCATCAAAATGTGCAACTATGGTCATTTTCTTCAACTCCGTTAGAAGTTCAGTCAAAATGAGTACATGTCATACACTTGAGGCTAGATCAAGGGGCAAATATAGTAAATGAAAAAAGAAAAATTGTATCACTGGTCCCTCAACTTTACTTCAACTGGAGAAATGGTCCCTTAACTTTAACTCAATTAGAGCAATGGTCCCTCAACTTTAACCCTATTGTACCAATTGTCCTTCTAACATAACTCATTTAGACAAAATTCTGATGCAGTTGACGAAAATGACTATAGCTACACGTTTTGATGAGTTGATGGACTAATGGTAATAGATTTTCAGTCGAGGAGACCATTGCTCGAATTTGATTAAAATTGAGAGACAATTGTTACAATTTACTCTTAGTTTTATCCAACCAATCACCACCGTCACTGACGTACCTACTTCCTGCCATGGATGTATCAATTAAGTAAAAAAAATTATGTAGAAATGTGTGTGTATATTTAGGTGAACAAATATGCAATTCTGGGATGGAGGATTGAGTTTGAGGGACTTGGGGCTAGGGATTGGATCTGGAATTCAAATCGAAATTGTTCAAGGAATTCGTAATCGAAGCGATGGCTCTTCCATTTTCCATCAAAATCAAAATTCAAAAGTCAAAAATCAAAATCATAATCTACAAAAAGGAAGTTTATATTAAATTTTAGTTACAATTATCATAAATTTTAAAAAATAGCTATAATTTATATGCGGTGTTAAATTTTGATTATTTTTTCAATTTGTCTGAGGATGACATCATTGGTACTTATTTTACAAAATGATGGGTCATAGGCTCTTGAAAATTGGTAACTGACTTTAAGGAAATACTGATGCGTGACCGCAACATAAGGGTCAATTGATGATGCCAAGGTATCTTCTTATGCGGGCGGTGTGCAAACCCAATATTATTGTCTTGCTATTCCTTAACAAACCTCTATCTACATATGACGAGTAGAAACTTCGATTTTACTTTTATCAACAGCAGTTGTAAGTTGACTTGGTACCTCTGTTTGGAGAACACAGAAAAGTCTTGCCCTTCTTTTAAAATTTTCATAGTTTTCAAATCCCAATGTCTTTTTTGTCAAACAAATAGATATAGCCCGCCATGAAGAAGAGTAATTTTTCAATGTACTTGGAGTACGGTCTTATAACGTAATTATTTTTAGGGAATTTTTTGATATGGATCCAAAGTAACTAAAAATTAGACATATTTCAAAATGTGGCCTATAAAATTAGACCTATTTCAAATTTTTCCTTATTTTTTTTTCTAGTTGTATAGAACATATGATTTTTTTTATTAATATACTTTAGGAGTGAGACATGTTAATCATGCCGTTGCATGTGATCCAGTATCTTAGCGGATAAGGTGTCGGGTTTTCATTTATGCATCCCGAGTTTGGAATTCCCTCATCCCCTTAATTATTATAATAACTTCCAACCCTTTCCTCCTCCTTTTAATAACAATAATTTTAAAATATCGTTCATCCTTATTATAACATGTAAAATGATATACCTTGTAACTTGTGTTCCAAGTACTCATAAAAATTTCTTCTGAGTAAAAGGGAGAGAACACACGAATGAACCAAGTCGTTTTTGTCCACCTTCACAAGATTATGCGGCTCTATTTTTTTGTCAAGACTCCATGAGCTTTCAAACTTAGCATGATTGGTGGTTGAGGTTTTTTCCCACTTAATTAAGTACTAATTATAACTAAGGGTTGAACAAAATCTATCAGGCTATCAGCTTCCAACAACAAAATCTTGTTAGAAAAATAAAGAGATTAAACAACAAATACAAGGCTGAGAAGCTACCAATAAATTATATGGTCCATTCCTTTATTTGACAAAAAAAAGGCAATTCCTTGTGTTTTCCCTTTCTGTTTAGGTGAGGAACTCCACTTCAATTTAACAATCAATATGAATTAAACTCACAGAATTTGGGGACCAGCTTTTTTTGGGGGTCATAATCAAATTGAAGCCCCAAGAGAGCACTTTATATGGGCAAGTACCAAGCTATCGTGATGTATTGTTTTAATGATGTAATGTTATGTGAAAAGAAATTTATACCCAATATTGTATCACTCATATTGAATGTTACAATAACAGTGTACTCGTACCATCAATTCTCCAAACAATATTACAAAAGCCGCACGGTTAGGTTGGTAAAATTATGCACTACAAGTAGCTCTTAACATATTTATTGGAAAATAGTTCCATTAGCATGTGGATTGTTACCAACGATATTAAAAAAATATCTATTGAAAAAAAAAAAAAAATGAAGAAAAAAGTTCCTCAGTGGTACAACAGGAGGGCGAAACTGAAGAAACTGTAGTTTGCAAGTGAAATAATTGTCTTTTCAACACAGCTACATCCCTTTTCAAAAGACGTTGAATCTCCCCGTTTTTTGTTTCGTCCTCAAGTCCCTGAACGTATGAAGTCTCGTTTTTGTAGTATTCCAATTCGTTAACATCACACTTGTGCAAAGATTATACATGTAAGTTTTAGATAAGTTAGGATTATGAAAATTTAGGGTTTGTCGAACCTCCTATCAAACAAACGAAAATAACTACAAAGGAATATAAAGATAATTGATCAATTATAAAAATTGAATAAAAGATGCGAGTTATGAACCTCAACATAATAAATTCTAGCTTTGACTGTAAATTAGAATTTAGAATATCATCTTGTTAGAAAAAATTAAAAAATAATAAAAGAAATAAAAAAATGTTATTCTAACCATCTATTTGTATCATTTGTTTAATAAAGATGAGATCTATAAATGTTAATAGGCCCTACTTCTATCAGAGAGATGATACAAATGGTAGTACAAATAAATAGTAAAAATTTACAAATATGAACGGAATATGAACATCTTGGGCACTGTTTTGAATTTACAGAAATACAGGGGGTGATTGTATAAGTAACAAAGTAAAAGTTTTCAAAATGTCGTTACACTTGGCAACAACAGCTAACTTATTTAAATTGTCTGACGTGTGAACACGCGCTTTTTCTACACGGAAGAAAACAAAAAATATATACCACCGGAAACAATCGCCAATAAACCGGCGCTTAAATACAAAACAAAAACTCGGCGCCAAAAATAATTCTTAAGTCTCAAAGACTCCGCCGACGAGACAACGCTGATGACGAAGAGCCGCCGGATGCGGGCGTAAAAAACAGGTCGGATAAGTGATTTCCAATATCTTCAGGGGCAATTCTGACGTAAAGCCCCGCGTTTCTCCCGCCGCCAACCGTCATCCTGTGTGTGTCATAAAACTCCCTGTAAACCGGAACAAGCTTTTGCTCTACAGAAACTTTGATCTCGTCTCGGAGTTTCGGGTCCGGTACGACACTCATTCTTTGTTTCCGATACGCTTGGTCGAAGGCAAAATTGAAATTCCGGAAGATCAATCTCTCTTCCTCGGGAGAAATCTGAGCCGTCGGATTCTCCGGCAGCGAAGATAACACATTCCCCCAAGCCAGTTTCTCATAATTCGCCGCGAACTGCCGCACTTTCGCCTCGTGCTTTGATATCCAGTCCTCCCCAAGGAGGTACTGGAGATTCGACGTGCGGACTTTCGAGATTACGTACTGGAGGTTGTTGGCGAGGAAGAGGTACGAGAGCGCGATGTCCTTGTAGTGCTTGGCCTTGTCGTCGAGCTTGCAGAGGAGGACGAGGACGAGCCATGCCATGAGGACGGAGATAGCCGGCGCTGGAGAATTATCGGAGAAAGGACTGTCGAAGTACGATTCCCGCGGTGTCGATTTAGCCGGGCGAGGCCAATCGGTGATAATGTCGGCGAGGATGTTGCTGTAGTCGGTGAGGAGCGAGAGGTGATTCATCGCGCGGACCGTCAGATCGTGGATCCCGCCGCCGGTGGGGACGGATTTGGACGAGTCTTTCTGGACCGTGGACTCGAAGTCGGAAATCAGCGATCGCACCGACTCGCCGAGTTTGATGAGCGAGTTGAGAGCCTGAGATCGGACGGCGGCGGTGGATTCGAATCCGAAGATGGATTCGATCTCCGGCCAGCTCTGGGAGATGGCGGTGTACATATCGAGGAGGCGGAAAATGTCAATCGACGACGGCGAGTTCTTCTTGCTTTTCACCGCCACGAGAACCTGCGGGAAGCCGAAGAGCAAATTCGCGGCCTCGCTAGAAATGTGCGCGAAGCAGGACTCGCGGATCGACGCGGAGGACGCGAACACGTGGTCACACAGGATCCTCTCGCCGTCGAAGAGCGTGGAGATCGAGATCTTCACCGCGCTCAGCCAGCTCGTGATTCTGAAATCCAGAACCTCCCGGTCCATCTTCCCGATCTGCGAGGAGCTGAACCGCTCGACGCCGAGCTTGTACATTCCCTCGTCGATGATCGATTTTCTGATGGTTTTGTAGCTGTGAACGCATTCCTTCGCGTATCCCGATGTGATCATGCACTCGGCGATTAATTTCAAGTCGTTCATGGCGATAGCCGAGACGTGCTCGACTTCGGAAATGGCGTCTCCAGCGAATTTTACGTCGTCGTCTGTGGTGGCGCCGCTGTCTTCGTCGTAATCGGAGGTGCTGGACCGGGTCGAGGCGAGAGATGATCTGGACCGGGTGGAGACAGATTCTGGGTCGAGGTGAGCCCGGTTCATGGAGAGGATCTGGTAAAACTCCTTCTGGAGACGCTTCATTGCCACCTGCATGAGGCCCTGCGCGTGGACGAGTTTTTCGGATGTGGGTTCCTCTTGGACGAGGTAGTGCATGACACTCTGGAGGTCCGTCACGCACCGGATAAACTGCCGGGCTTCGTTTTTGCTCTCGTAGAATAGGGAGGTGACTTTGGCGTAAGTGGAGGTGTCCGGGTTCCACTTCATGATCAGCACGGCGCCGTTCTCGATGATCTCTTGAATCATCGCCTCCGTGAAGTTCGCAACGGGAACGCGCCGCGGGGTCGGAAATGAAATCGAGGGCCTAGAAGGGGAAGAAGAGAAGGCCGGGAGTCTAGCAGGGGAAGAAGAGTAGGCCGCGAACGACGGCGATTTGGAGTGAAATAACAGGCTCCTCATTCCTTTTGTTGGCATTTCACTCTAGTAATCTGACAGGCTTGGACTGGCTTGGCTTGGACCGGGTTAAATTTTCTCGAGAAAATTGTTTTGGTGTGAGCTGTCTAGGTCGGTCTGTTTGTTTCTCGAGAAAATTTGGTGGCTGTTGTGTGTGGGATTTGGAGGGAGGAGGGAGATTATGTTTAACGTGTTATGTTTGGGACTGGATAGTGGGAGGGGGATATATAAAGAGAGGGAGATGGAGATCGACGACCGTGTCTCCTGTAGAAGGAGAGAACGAAGGCACGTATTTGACCGTGACGCGTTTGTATTGACAAATTAAACGACGTGTTTTGAGAAATGAAACGACAATGTCGTACTGGGAGCAAACAAATGTAGGAGATTAACTAATTGGTCGCAACGAGACGCAAATATATTCAAATAATTCGGGAGAAGCCTGTGAACGGTACAGGTTAGATAATAATAAAAATACTATTAAAAATATTATGATTAAGAAAATAATAAAAGATTATTTATTTTGTTGGTTTGTTTTTAACTCTAGTCGCAATTGGGTGCTTAATTAAGTATAAAAATAATATTTAATTTATGATCAAGGGAACCTTTAAGTCTTATGACTAATATTCCAATATTATTCTCCAAGTTGTTGTTTATAAGTTGGAAGATAATTGGTATTGCACGTGGGACGTAAGCTCATATATCATTTCAAAGGCACTGTCATATAAGCATGATATTCAGCCCAAGTTACTTTAGGTAGGGCATGACGTTTTCGCTAACATAGAAACTAGTGGAAGCAAATATTGAATAGGACTTTATATGGAGGACGAAATAAATTCGAGAAAAGTATCACATACTTGCACCAACTTATCATCCAAGGATTGATGAAAATGGAAAATAGTTGGAAACAGAAAGGCAGCATAGGCGACATAACTTGTGAAGCAATATACCTTGAATTTACATTTTATTAATTATTGATACCGACTGATAAATCTCTAAGTGATGTAACACTCTCTCACCTAGGTACTACTCGACTATGGTATTCTACTTTTAAAGAAACAGACTAGTCGCATAATGAGCTAGCTAGCTATAACTAAGTATTAAACTTAACATATATACGTCATCAAATGTGAATTAAACTTGAGATATCTTACTTATGAGAAAAGATAAATAATGTAGTAGTCAATTTCAGCCTCCTTCAGTCTTGATGAAAATGTACCTTTAAAACAATAAACACCTTTGATAAAAGACCAAAACATCACGCGCCCATGAGGAGTTGGGGGAGGGGGTTTGGCCAATGAATCTCTAATGCCTATTAAGTCAGTAAATTTGAATAGGATGGGTGTTTAGAGTTTTCTATATAGCGAAAAGCTTACCAAAATTTGGTGGAGATGGAGGTATTTAATTATAGGAGGAGGTGGGGGCCATGGGGTAGGGTTTTGCCATACTTCTTCATTTAGGATTGTATTAACAATAGGATTTGTTAATTAATTTTTATCTTTAATTAGTTTACATTAAGAATTTTTTTTAATAATTACTAATATTAAGAAGAGGAAAAAAGTTTGAAACCATTACAATATTAAAGTGAATAGAAAGGGAGTTTCGAGGATACATTTTTAGCCATTCATTTCACTTCCACGTTCATGTATAATTATCATTTAAGGAAGTCAACTATAAATCCATGGCTGAAAATGAAGAGTATATCAATAAAGTAAAATATTTATTATGGAGGCAAAGTAATTTGGAATGAAAATATATAATAATATTACAAAAACAAAATAACTAGACTTTTGAGATTATAACACACAGCTAACCACAGGTAAACTTTCGATTTAGCCACCAATATGAAATGAGAAGGGTCGTCAATATACAAATCTTCAATCACAAGAAGTCTATAAAGTACGCTTAAGAACTCAAACTTGCTTGTAAAAAACATACATGACTCCTACCGCAAAAATACAAAACTCATCAATATATAGCGAGAAAACAAACTCTTGCTCATTTCTTTCTATTTAGAGGGAGAAATTTCTATTGAGACGACCAAACATTTCAACTATTTTACTGTTATTGACTCATAAGCGTGAAGGTATATTGCTTCAACGGTGGAGTTTCAAATTCCCAGCAGAAACATGCACCTTCTCGAATGCTTGAAGGCAAAACAAGTCAGCGTGCAATGTAAGCCTGAAATATTTTCACGTAATAATTACATGCTCTTGATGATTTAATAATTCCCACTTCAGTTTTCCATCTTATATATTATGGTGGAAACCGTGAATGGAATCCTTCGAACATAATATCAATTAGTAGAATAGTTAAGTAATCTTCCACACCCGTATACGTTAGCATCAACAGCAAAGATATTAATTAAAGAATTAATGCAAAATGCTCCCGCACAGACTGCCATTTTCTCTGCCATTTTCTGCTAACATGTGCAGCAAAACCATACGCTGCCTTGTTACAAATTCTGGGAACAAACTGGAAAACATTATATATTATTTTTTTGGAGTTTTAACGAAAAACCATATTTTTACACTAAAAAGTCAATCCTGGTACTATTCATTTTATCCTTTATTTTGTCCTTATCATTAAAACTCAAAGTTTTCAAATCATTTTCATTAATTTTCTTTTATTTTTTAGGTAATCTCAGTTGCATCGCTATTAGTTTAGACGACATTCACTGCCCCGATAATATATTATTACGAAGTTGATCATTGCATTCCAACATGATTACTCAAATTAAAAGTTAATTTTAAATGACATATGGTTCACTTTTTAATTAGTCAAGTTCTGTTCACCTTGCAACTTGATCATTGTAAGAGGATGCATGTTGCAACTTCAACAACAAAAAATTAAAGAAGAAAAAACAAACAAGAAATAGAAACTTCTGTGCAGAATAATATATATAATCCTCATCACCATGTGATGATTATGCATCCTTCACCACACAAGCATATATTTTAATATCATAAACATTCTTCTCAAATACAAATTATATATAAATATACCGAGTTTTTATCCAAAAAGGATCCCTATTTTTTTATAAAAATGGAGATTAGTTGTCAGGCCCACTTTACACCAAACAACTAAACCATCTATTTTTTAAGTCTTCATTCATAGCTCATCTTGCAAAAATTCAATTCAATCTGATTTACTCATTTGATTGTCTTGATGAAATTTTAATGTTTATTAGAACACAGTGTTTATCAATTCGTTTTAACTTAATTAGATGCTTCAAACATCTTCGATTTGGCTAATATTTTGTAAGGAAGATCTATGAAGTGCAACGTGAAAAATATATTGTTTAGAAATTCGATGTGAAGTAGGACGCACAAATAGTCCCCGTTTCTTTAAAAAAAAAAAATTAGGGATAAGGGGTCTGTAAATTTATTTATATATATATATATATATATATATGCAATGTACATTGCCATATATATGATAATATTCATAAATATTCATCATTTTTTAATTTATTTCACTTTTTCCAGTTCTTCTCTGGTCATAGTCATATATAACGCGATTTTGGTTTTGGCAAAAATTATTAGTCGAGTTTTGTTTTCGTCTCGACTACTCTGTCGTTTGGCTCCTTGCCCGTACATGCATCAGCAGTGATCACTGTATGCAGCACTCGTTTTGAGCTGTTGGAGTTGGATCACCCACCGCTGTTAGGGTTTGATTCCTTTATTTTCGTGTGATACAAATTATCCAACAAAGAACATATATACATAAATCCATTATCTACAGATTCTAGACGATCGAGAAGCAATACAATTCAATGTTAGTTTCATATATAGTTAATTGGATTGAAGCACATGTTTTTATAATAACTCGTTTTTTCTTGGGTTGCTCGTCGATTATATACTGGTTTATATTATGCCAACTAGAGAAATTAACAAATATACTTGCATGGGAACTGGGAAGAATACGCGTAGCTTATAGCATGCAATTTAAGAAAATAAGAAAGAAACACAAATAATTGGTCTTAGGAAGATCTAAAGGCCTAAGGCCAGCTACCAACTAACTACTCGTCTAATATAATGATACTTTTATTTCCAAATTAATGTTGAAGAAAGACAGGTCCAAATCTCCCCTCCCTCAATGACCAAAATAGTAAAAATATATCTAAGAATTGAAGAGGAGGGGAGGCTTTGAGTGCAAAGAGTCTAATTAACTAGTCTAGAGTTGTAAGAATGTGAATGTGGTATAAGTATTTTATCATAGAGTTGTAAGAATGTATTAAGAAACTTGCAATAACTTAACTACAATGCACTTCTCACATTCTCAATTAACTGGTTTTTGCGCGGTTTGAAACCCTGTCATCCATCAGGGGTTAGATCATATGCCATTTGAGATTTATAAAAGAAATAATGATGTTTTCTAATAAAATGTGTCTTTAGATATAATATTAAGTTGTTATTATGTATTATTTAGGTACTTTGGGTGCAATGTTGTATGACAATAAAAGCATAAACCCCTACTCAGAAGTACTGTCTAGAACATGCACGCACCATCATATTGGCAATGCAATTATTTCTTCATTGATATTGTTGAGCACTTTAGAATTATACACACACACACTTACACTTCAAGTGCTTTTAAAATGTCATTTAAGCATTGCCAATTGATTGGTACGTTAATTGTTTTGGTTTTTCATGTTTGGGGGGTGTATATATAGTATATACTATATAAAGTTATAAAACCTAGCTTCGCGTCTTTCTTTTCCTGTATACATGTTTGAAACTTTTCTATTTTGCTGCTACAGACCACTACTGCGGCAGGTCAAAATAAAAACCGTTGGTGACGAAGACTTGCACGTAAATATTATTATGAATTTACCGTCTTTGGCATTCGTTTGACTGACTTGGGGTCTTGGAATGCTGCCTTCCTCAGTTCCGATCTTTGCATATATATGAACTCAAACCGTGAGAAATCGGCTATAAGATATTAAATCCTTGTGGACTAATAAAATTTATGGGTCTTTTCCTTAACAAACCAATTGCTTCACATGCTAGTAAATCGGACTGTTGAATTTTAAGAAATGGATGTTCTATATACTTAA